ATATCCATAATTTTATGAAAGTAACATTAACTCACTTACATGAGGAACAAAAAATAAACAATGGAATAACTTAACTTATATAAGATAACAAGGGAGGTTTCGACCCCACCGGTTATTTAACAAGTACCATATATATATTTATTTGTCATTAAATTTACACATTAAATATTATCGTTAAAAAAATCTGGTGTGTTGTCTGCATCTCACAACTTTCCCTTATAATCCTACTTTTAAGTATAAATAGGTATTTTTGTAAAAAGGAAAGTGAAAGTAAAAATGACGGTATAACATCTTTATTTAACTATGTTGTTGGCAATAAAAACTTCCAATATATAACAAATTGTGTATTTGCTATAATTCATTCCAATTTTACGTTTCGGGATACAATTTCCATCTTTAGAACTCTTTTCCCTTCTTTCATAAATAATTAATAGCTTGAAAAGAAGAGGTTCATTAAAATAAATATATATTACAGTATCTTTCAATGTAATAGCGTTACATATTTGCTATATTTATCAAAAAACCACATGTGCTCCTATGTCATAATAATAATAATAATAAGACTTAGCGAACCCGAAGGTTCGATGCCGACACCATCAATCGCTTGTTACACACCTCCCTCCACCGTTTGCCGTCCAAACCCAGTCCCTTCAGATCGGCTTTAATGCAATCTTCCCACCTTCGCTTCGGTCTACCCCTCGGACGCTTACCATTCGGCACAGCAAATATTAACCTTTTAGGAATTCTCTCGTTACTAAGCCCAACAACTTTACAAGCCCATTTGATTCGCCGCGATGAAATTACATCAATTATATTACCCGGATACAGCTCACGCAATTCGGCGTTGTGTAGCCGTCTGAACTCTCCGGTTAACTCATCCTTCTTCGGTCCGAATATTCTACGCAATACTTTATTTTCAAAAACCTTAAGACGCTGCTCATCCCTTAATGTAAGCGGCCAAGTTTCGCATCCATAAAGAACTGTAGGCAAGATAATTGTTTTATAGATTCTAATTTTTAAGTTCCGGGACAAGAGGCGCGAACTAAGTAGTTTTGTCACAGAAAAATAACAAGCATTTCCCGCCTTCAGTCTAACCTTAATCTCTTCTTCAATTTCGTTTTTTCTAGTTATCGTTGAACCTAGATACCTAAATTTATCTACCTGTTCAAACATATTACCATCTATATCGATGTCACCAGTAGTATCGTCATTTTTGCAGCTAACCATATATTTTGTTTTATCCACGTTTATTTCGAGTCCTAGTTCTTTCCTGGCTTTCATTAACGTTGTCGTATTTAGTTCTATAGTTTCAACGTCTTCGCTTAACAGCACCAGATCATCAGCATAGCCCAGCACGGATGTTGTCCCGCCCAGATCCAACCCTTTCTCGGTACGCATTACCTCCCTAATGGCATGTTCTAATGCCAAATTGAACAGGACAGGCGAAAGAGAATCCCCCTGTTTTAAACCCGAACGAACCTCAAATTTTTCAGACAAATTATTACCGATTCTAACATTATTGAGTGTCTCCGTCAAGCACATCCTGACTAAATTTACTAGTTTTTTTGGAATCCCCTGCTCGATTAGAATATTATACAGTTTCTGGCGGTCAATAGAATCGTAAGCCTTTTTAAAATCTATATACAGCTGGTGAACAATACCGTTATACTCCAATTTTTTCTCTAATATTTGCCGTAAAGAAAATATTTGATCAATAGTCGAACGATTCCGTCTAAATCCGCATTGGTAGTCTCCGATAATTTCCTCGGAGTATTCCGTGATTCGACTGGTTAAGATTGAAGTGAATATTTTATAACATACCGGAAGGAGTGAAATTCCTCGATAGTTATTACAATCCGTCCTCGGTCCCTTTTTGTGAATCGGAATAAGAATAGATTCTTTCCATTCTTCAGGTAATTTCTCGTTCACCCAGATCTTTTTAACCAACCGATGTATTTTAGAAACTCCAGCTTCCCCGCATGCCTTAATTAGTTCAGTAGGAATATTATCGATTCCCGCTGCTTTATATGATTTTAATTTTCCGATAGCTACTTCAACTTCCTCTTTACTTGGTCCTTCTATTAGCGGTTCAGCACTCTGGTACTCAGAAGGAGGACACAGATCATAATTTCCCGTATTTAAAATATTGTCAAAGTGGTCCTTAAACTTATTCAATATGTCAACCGGATCGGTCAGAATATTGTTATTATCATCCCTAATTCCAGACGTTACGGGCCCTACATATTTACGTGATCTGTTTATACCTTTGTACATGTCTCTTACGTTATTTTCGATTCTATTAGTTTCTATTTCAATTATTTTATTTTTAAGATACTCCCTTTTTTTATTTTTGAGCAATTTTGTCGTTTCGTTCTTTGTGATTCGGAAGTATTCCAGATTGTCTTCGCTAGGATTATTTAGAGCTTTTAATTTAGCGGCTTTTCTTTTTTCGCACATGTTTAAGCAATCTTCATCAAACCACGGTTTGTTGTTCTTAGTTTCCTTTTTTCCTAGGCACGAGTTACCGACCGCTTTTATATTATCCCTGATCTCTACCCATAACTTGTCAATATCCTCGCGGTCCTCGTCAGGAAGCTCTAAAGCTTCAAACCTATTCTTAACATCTAGCTCGAATTGGGTAATTGGGATTTTTTAATTTGTCCAAATTAAAATTCTCAAAATCAAAACGGTTTTCTTTTCTCTTTTTTATATTAAGTTTTTGTCGAAGTTTCGCGATTACTAATTCATGATCCGACCCACATTCTGCTCCGCGATAAGACCGTACATTGATTATACTGCTTTGCCAGCTGTGTTGTATCAAGACATGATCTATTTGATTTCGTGTTTGCGAATCCGGTGATGTCCAAGTATATTTATGAATATCCTTATGTTTAAACGTCGTACTTTTAATTATCAGGTTTTTCGAGATGGCAAAGTTTATCAGACGGATCCCATTATCATTACTATATTCGTGCAAACTTTCTTTACCAATCGTCGGAATATAAACTTCTTCCCTTCCTACCTTTGCGTTCGCGTCACCTACAATTATTTTCATGTAGTTTCGCGGTAGTTTATCATAAACCCATTCGAGTTTATCGTAAAATTCACTTTTGACTTCATCGTCACTGTCTTCGGTCGGACAATGTATGTTTATTAATGCTATTTTAAACCAACGTCCCTGAAATATAGCTACCGAAATTCTATCACTAAAGAATTGTACGTCGCTCAAAGCGGATAGTAATCTACTCCTAATTAGAAACCCGGTACCTAAACAATGATTCCCGCTTCCTCCGTACCAAATAGTGTACTTTCCTTCCCTCAGCGAGCCCTCCCCTGGCCAGCGAACCTCTTGCAGAGCCACGACATCCAAATTGTACCCATTTACCTCATTCGCGACCGATTTTAGCCCCCCTGCTGTGTTTAAACTCCTTACGTTCCACGTACCAATATTTAAATCCCTGTATTTCAACTTGCGCCATGAATCCCCTAAAGCAGTCCCCACCCGGAGACCCGAACGGGGGGCTAGTTTACTTCCGGATAATGAGCGTTTTACCTTAGGGAGATCCATGACTTTTTGTGGTGTTTGGTGAACTAAAGATATGTGAGTAGGGCGTTCAATCCTACGTCACACCCTCCAGCAAGTCTGGTGGGCCCCTACCTCCAGCAAGTCTGGAGGTCCCCTCCCTCCAGCAAGTCTGGAGGTCCCCTCCCTCCAGCAAGTCTGGAGGTCCCCTCCCTCCAGCAAGTCTGGAGGGCCCCTCTCATTGTTGGTCAGCGAGTCCATCGGACTTAGCCGGGAGGAACTTCCAAGGAATTTCCACCGACTATCCCCACATCCGCCACCCGTGGGACGCTCCCCATGCGCGGTAATGAGCCCGCGCGAGGCTCCTATGTCATACTTCAAAATATTTTGTTATATGTAAAAGTAATATCTTGAGCAACACTTCATTTAAAACAATTATCATATGTTTTTCCTACACATCTAAATTGTTAAAGTTCTGCATATTTCTTCATTGTTCATTTCCTTATGTGCTACTGTATATATATTTTTTTTATTTAACTATAAGGATGACACATATTTGTTTCAGTCCCGCAAGGCTGCCACGAAATTTTTTTAACTCAGAAATTGATAAAATTAAAGTTTGAGAATGGTTGCTCTAAAGCGTAGCTGGGGAACCTTTTTATCATTTGAGAGAAGCCGCAGTAAGGTTAGGCAGTGATTATGGAGGCCGCTGTAATTCTTTATATTTTACCGTTCCTATTTTTATTTATCAATAAATACACACATTCAACTTAATTCTATTAATTTCCAAGTTATCATTACTTAAATAATTAAATCTACCACTAGATTAATAAATATCATGCAAAAATGCTTGGAGGCCTCCAAGGCCGCAACTATGACACAGAGGTTACATATGGCCTCAGAGGCCGTGATTCCCCACCTAAGCTATAGTATTGCACATAGGCGTGGAACTTTTTTTATCATTGTAAGTATATATACTAATGGTTATAGGTAAATATACATGATTAATTAATATAAGAGTTTCATTTATGGAAGAAAAAAAAATGTGTAAACTTGAAGATATAAAATGCTACTTTTAATTTTCACAAAAAACTTGCTGTAATATCCTTTATACCTACTTATTTTAAATTCTTACTTTCAGTTTTTCCAAATTTTCATTTTTGTGCTATATTTTTACCACAAAGATGCATGGACCATTTTGCGAAACTAGGTTATTGTTTATAATAAACTAGGTTAACTCGGGAGACTTCAAAACTTGTAATTTGAAATATTTTCCTCCTTAATATTACATATACATGTAAGCGAAAGTAAAACATTGTTAATCTCCTGGGATTTGTGTTGTTAATATTATTTTAATTAGCAGACAAACAAATTGTTTTGTTTATTTAGTTAGATATAATAATTCAAAGCAATCATGATTCTTTTAGTTTAATATTATTTTTAATTGACAGTAATTTTTTTAAATTAATTTTTTTAGGATGTCTACCAATTTGATTAAGAATTTGATGAGCCACAACATTCCTGAGGTTTGAATAGCACCTTGACCATCATTTGATATCCTTTTATTTTTTTATTCTAAATGTTTGAATTTTATGAACACTTGTTTATTATCCCATGATGATTAATATTTTTAATATATGCATTTATCTATTTTTAGTGCCAAATTATATTATTGCTTCATTGTTCTTAATTATATATTTTGTGTTATTTTTGTAATTCATAGTCACTTCCTAGTTATTTTATTTTTCATTCTTTTATATATATATATTAGTTTTTAAAGACTATATTAAATGAAAAAATGTTCTTAGCTTTGTATCTATCTGTTCAGGACGGAACCCTGGTCTTTAATTAGAGCTTTTATATTTTTTCCTTGTACTTAAAAACTTTTTATAGTATTGTTCTATTTAATATATAAAGCTCAATAGATAATTTTATAGCACACAATTTGCTCAAAATCCTACTAATTTGTCTGTTATGGTTCTTATTTCAAAATCATTTTGGTAACTAGTATGACATGACCAACACTTATGTACAATACCTTAGTATATCATTTTTTTTTATTTATTGATTAATTTGGAATTATCCAATTAGTCTAAAAAAATTAATTAAAACCTTAAAATAAAATTTGTTTCTATAAAATTTGTTTCTTAAATTTCTGCTAATTGTCATTTTTAAAGCTATTATTTATTTAAATAGAACTAACAATCATTTCTCATTATTAGGTTCTTAAATAATCATACTTTTCCTGGAAATTCTAGGCTGAAGACTCTGTTTTGTCAATTACCGTTAAATTTTTTATAAACGACTAATTTTTAAATTACAATTGTTGAGGCAATATCTAATATAATTTTGTGTTTAAAATTGGAATCACACAATTCAATAAACTTTTTTTTTTTAAATTTGATATTCAATTTAGTTTTAAGATGGAAATTTGCAATTATATTCTAAAACTTAGTTTTATTAATTTTAATTTTAAGACTATTATTGCCTTATAGAATCTGTTTTGTTAAATGTTATATGGAGTCTAATCAGTCTTAAAAATAATATAATTTTTAAGCAAACGTTATTTAAGGTAATTTATATAAGTGCTGTATCAAATATTATTTCATAATTCGTTGGCCTAGTCATGTTTTGCATTTTATTTTATGGGTTCCGGTTTGTTTATTAAAAATAGGTGGAAGTTAATATAGAGCATTAGTTCACTATTTTTACTGTTCTTAGTTAATAAATTACATTATTACCAATTTATAGTCTTAAACAAAAATAAACACCATTTAGTGTGTGTCTGTGAGTTTGTTATAATGTGTGAGCGTGCCATTTTAAAAGACTTGATTTTGTTATTGTTATTGTTGCAATATTGTGTGAAGAAATTAGCGTATTTTAAATATGTCTTAAAACGAATATTTCATTTCTTCGAAATTAATTCAAACATAGTTAAACCTCTATATATTCAACATAAAACAAAAGGCCATTGTGTAGAAAATTTTGATGTTAGGAAAACTGATAATTTTTCATTATTAGCAAATGTGTTTCTGCAGTATGATTTCATAGGCAAAACTTTATATATTTTTTAGATAAAAAAAATGAATATACCAAGACAAAGGTACATCAAATATTATTTCAATTTTTCTTTAATTTATTTACTTTTAGCAAACCTTTAAATGAAAGGTTTGCATTTACTGATTTGATAGAGACCTGTAGTGTTTTTTTTATTTTATATTTTAAGTTTTATAGCTTCTCATGCCTTTTTGTGTACTGTTATTTTATTATGTAATAATAAAATGTATATTTGCAAACATTTATCTTAAAAATGCAATCATTTTTAATATTGCAAGTATTTTTTATTTCAAATTAAAGTTTAATAATGATTCAAGAAGTTCAATAAATAGGGGTTTGATTGTGAGTTTATATGTATATAAAAATACATATATGCTATTAACATGAATATATGCTTAAGGAGTGTGATATGTTCATTCATATTCCTGTAGTATAAGCATACATATACCTTAGCCAGTTTGGGAGTGGAGAAATAGTGATGAGCATAATTAACTAGCTAAGGTATACATTACATTTATAACAATTTCTTTGTATTATTTTGGCTGTATTAATTTTTCAAGAAAATAAAATGTATTTATCGTATTTTTTGTTTTTGAATTTCATATTGTATATTTAAGAAAAATATATGTCTGAACACTAAAGTTTTCTTGTTCTGTTTTGTTTTGATTGGTTTTTGAACAGCTATATTTATAAAAAATATATGTATAGTCACATATTTTTCAAATTAGAATTCAATCAGTTGAAATTGATAATTTTTTTTTTATATTAAAATAATTTTGAAATCTGTATATTTTTTGTACTTGACTCTCTAAAGAATATTTTATTTGATAAATTAACTGTTTATCATATATTGCATACAATATTGTTTGTTCAAAGCTCTGGCATTTAGAATGAGTAAATTATAATATTCAGTGCATAGGCATTGAATAGAGGATTTGTTTGCGCAAGCATTCTTGTAAGGCTGTGAGCTATCTCAGTGTTGGTCCATTGAATTATATTATAATTACAATGGCAATATTGTAATTATTATTAGGTTATAATTGGACATGACAATTATCTCTTTAAAATAGAAGTTGCATAGGGATATATGTGTTATCAAACTAGGAAATTTTCTGTATATAACACTAGTAATTATAGTTTTATTAGGAAATGAAAATAACTAATAAAAAAAGTAAAGGAATTTTCACTGATATAATAACTATGTGTCACAAAACTTTAAAACCTCCTGTATCTTTGACCACTGTTGAATATTATCATAAATATTTATGCTTCATTTATTGTAAGCTAGAGAAAATAAAATATATTATATAATTATTTTAATTTCTTTTTATATAAATCCCTTATTCTCAGCTTGCTTGTTATATGTTATGCAAATATCTTGTAACAATTGAGACTCACATTTCCGGAAAGTACTGTTTTAATATTGTTAAACATTCAAAGGAAAATTACATTAAAGTGAACAAAATAAAATTCTAGATTAAAAACAAAACAAAAACCTGTACTACAATATATAGCCAATAGTTAATGGTTAATAAATATCATATATACATAATTCTTATTTATTATGAATAAATTTATCTGGTTTTGTTTACAAATTGTAATTATTTTCATAATTAATTTTTTTTTTCATTAACTTTTTTACTTTATTTTGTTTTTATAATCACATTTTATCTAACCATGATGGGTGTTCGAGAAGTGTATGAGGTGAAATTTTTAAAAATGTGCAACCATGTCTGTACGCAATGAAAATCAACAAATGGTTTGAAACATTGCATTTATACTCAAAATACCATTTTCTAATGAAAATAACTGAAAAAGAAATGAAAATTATGCCCATTTAAATGTCACCAAAAGCACACTGATCTATCAACTACTGTACTACAGCCATAACATGTAAACAGTAATCAAAGAAAGTTGTTAAGCATTGTATGTATACTCTAAATAGTGTATCCTAATGAAAAAAAAATCTCAGAAATTATGTTTTTCAAAGAGTTAATCCATACTTTGTATGGTTCGCCTGAATAACGCAGAGCAAGGCTTGTTATCCAGATCACTGGAGATCTGAGGGATACCGGAGCGAACTGGTGAAACGCCCGCCGCTTTGGTGACCTGCATTGGAGCAAGTTTGGGCATCAGGCTCAGTACAGATGACTTGGACATAGTACATCGCCGCAGAAGTAGAAAAGATGACCCACGACCGCCGCCTGTCATCGCGCGCTTTGTCAAACAGTCAGTCAGGGACGACTTAATAACGAAGAGGAAAGTCAAGAGAGACCTCACTACTCGGGATATCGGCTGGCAGGAGAATGACTGTCACCGGATATATCTGAGTGAGGAAATGACTCCCACGAACAGACACTTATATTGGCTCGCCCGACAGAAGAGAGCTGCGGGGAAAATCAAATATACGTGGTTTGCCGCTGGAAAGGTGCGATGTCGAAAGGAGGACGGGCATAAAGTTATTCTGATTGAACAGGCCTCGGACCTCGATATATTTGCCTGACCACGAAGAATTCGTCTACTCCTCATCCTCATTAAAATAACTTTGAACTCAATTATCTACAAAGGAACATTTTCACTTCTACGCATAGAGATATCTCTTCACACTTACACACTAATTTATATTTTATTGACCATATGTTTTTTATTTCTTTTGGTTCCTGCTTACACTTTCTTTTCTGCTATTTTCATTAATTGTAAACGCCTTTTTGTATTTTCTATTTGTTTTAGAGTTTCTCTACCAAACTCTGACTGTTTCCCTCCCAATTCCTCTCATGTCTAGTACCCTAATCACCTGTCATGTTAACTCTCAATCCCTCCCTGCCCACTATGACGAGTTCCTGCAATATTTCACTCAAAACTTTTATCATATTATCGCAATCTCGGAAACTTGGCTTAAACCTTACATCCCTTCCTCTTCTGTTTCCTTGCCTAATCACACCCTCCTCCGTCATGATCGGGTAAGCCGGAATGGCGGAGGAGTAGCCATGTTTGTCCATAATAGCCTGAAGACTCGAATCCTCGATTCCTCACCACCCTCCGATCATCCTCAGGTTGAATACCTTCTAGTAGAAATCCATTGTAAGGATCTTCCTCTCCTTTACACTGTGGTATATCGTCCTCCCCATGTTCCATTTGATCAGTCCTTCGAATCAACCCTATTCAACTTCGTTCCTCTATATCCCAGAATAATCATCTCCGGTGACCTCAATACCAATTTCCTCTCTAACTCCAATGACAAATCCTATCTAGAAAACCTAATTTTCTCTCTGCACCTCTTCATAGTTCCATTTTCCCCCACCCACCACACCAGCAGGTCAGACACTTGGTTAGACTTCTACATTATAGACTCTGTACAAAATCTCCTCTCCTCTTCTCAATTGCCAGTATCATTCTTATCATCTCACGATCTTATACAAATAACATATAATATCCAAACTCCTTCAATCCACCCTCGAACTATCACCTTCCGTCACCTAGATTCCCTTACTCGAGAAAAAATATTACCTGACCTAGAAACCCTAGACTGGAACGGAATATATTCTTGCTCTTCCATCGACTCCATGGTTGACATTCTTACCACCAATCTTCTCAATATTCTCAATACCCATGCTCCCCTCAAAACCTCTACCTTTCGTCACCGGCCTGCTCCTTGGATGTGTCAGGAAATCAAAGA